CACACACACACACACACACACCTCGCACCCTACTGGGCCAGGCGTAGCCTCAACTTGCCCCTAATGACGAGAGTGGAACAGGGATGGATGTGATTTAGCACAAGATCTCACACACACAAGCTCATTAGAACAAATTGGGCCACATGACCTTGTATTCAGCTCAACATTAGACAATGATAACGCCGCAGAAAGCCACTCATTACCTTTTAGCAAACTCATTTGTCGACTGGAAATCAGCATGAAAGTTTTAGTGAAGCATGATTACTGCAAGTTGAGTTGTGCAGCACAAACAGCAGAAAATCTCAGAAAGAAATGATCAGTAAAAAAAATCAGGAGAAAGTTTCTTGACTTCATTTTTTAACTTTATCTTTGTTTGGTTTTTTTGTCACTTTAGAAACGACTGCAGGAGTGTGTGGAGCTACTCGATGGTTTCAAACGTGGAACTGTGCCTCCTGGAGTGACTGATGCTCAGGTGAAGTCTCTGTGGTTTCAGTACGTTGAGTCAGAAAAGCAAGAATCTCTATGTGCGTTATCTAAAACAAAAAGAAATATCTTCTCTTTGACTTCAGAGCAGTTTACAAGTTTCTTCTTAAATAAACCAATATGTTTGGACGTACTTTTTTTATTCCTTCACAATGTTTGTTTTTTTCTCTGCAGCTTTGGAAAGCTCAGAAAATAAAGCAGGTGAGATGTTTAATCACTTTCCCTCTCAATCACTGACAAACACAAACTGCCACAACAAGCAGACTGAAGATAGAGATCTGAAGTGTGAGTGAATTAGCAAACAAATCTGACACCGCTCTCTTCACCTCATCTCAACAGTGACCTGTTTATCCAACAAACATGCAGCGAAGTGAAACATGCGGCTTTCAAACAGTAGTTCCCTTAAATTCAACCAAGCTGCACCAAATTGAACACTCATAGGAATCAGTCACATTAACAATTCCATGTTTTTTCCAGCGTGATTCATGAATGAATCCCTGGTGAAACAGTGAAAATGTAAAAAGAAAAATCCATCGTTTGTTTGTGCGTTACCTCGCCTGCAAACGAACAAATCATGTCAACAGTATAAGATGGCGGATCCGTGTCCGGGATGTTTTAGCCTAATTTTTTAAATACACTAAAGTCTATGATTGACTTTAATCACACAGCAATAACGAAATGCACCACTTTTCATGAGCGTTTTGTTAAAAAGTCCCAGTGCTCATATTTTAGATCTTATTAATTTGTTTTCAAGAACATGTAAAACTCCCTCAGCTCCATTTGATCTGAATTAGCCCAAATCATCTGTACTCATTATCGTCTGACTCGGATCATTATGTGCTCATAACAGGCCATCATCCACCCTGACACCGGGGAGAAGATCCTCATGCCCTTTCGGATGTCGGGTACAGTAGCTCGGTGTGGAAGCCCCGGGTGGAGTGGGGCCTTGTTATATGGTCCAACATGGAGGTGTCGTTCACCCCGGGAACTGTCACATCTCCACGGGGCTCTTCAGGTTGTCTCTGGCCTGTAAAAAGGTCAAACTCAGCAGGGCGCTGATTAAAATCTCTCTCCCACGTTGGCGGAGAAGTTCTGAATAAGCAAGCAAACACAATCATTTTGATCCGGTCTCAAAGTCTCACCTTCAAAGACAGGAGCGATTAACTTGTTACGACCGACTCGGAGACTATATATACACGACAGATTTGTACGTAGCCACAACATCTGATTGGTCAAAAGTGTACAGACCTCAACCGTGGAGGCTGAAGCATCAGTGAAGAGAAACTGATGTGTTTCACAGAAGAACAAATGTAAAAGTGATTTATAGGAAAATCTCTTTACAAAGATTAGAAATATGAATTATAACAAATCATAAACTAAAAGCAAACAATGACTCTGACTCTCTTTTAATAGGATTTATTCCTTTTGGCACCCCAGTGGTAAGACTTATTTCTGTTTCTTTATATTTATTGTTACTTCCCCAAAATATAGACTAAGGCACAAGTGGATTTTTTTTTCTTTGTGCAGGTTGTCGGCCTCCTTCTCCCAAATCAAACATTGGCATCAACTATCTTCTGGCAGGTAAAGACTTTTGTCTTGACCGCCGTCCCTCGTCTGTCCCTCCGTCCGCCTGTCTGTGTAACAAGAAACATTTGATATTAATAACAGAGTAAACAAGTAAAACCACTGACTGTAAAATCTTCATTGCAGATGAACCAGGTAGGATGAATGTAGGCTCTGGAGCATCACCACAGTGCACTACTAGTATGATGAAGAGTCTTTAACTTAATTTAATTGAATGTATTTATTCATCAGGACAGTATGTTCCTGTAAATCTTCCAGTATTTGTCAGCCAGACAATTTTCGACACTCGTCCTGCCAACGTGCTCTGAAACCAGTGAAGTGACAAACAAACATTCGACAGTAAGATGCCAGAGTGAAAACAAAAGCCCCAAAATAGCTTTCAGACGATCGCACCACAATATGAAGCCATTCATTAGCTTTGATGAAATAAAAATGTCCACATTAGATCCATTTGATTATTTCGTATGTTTAACACATTCGTTGAAATGTGAGTTTAGGTCATGTGTCGTTGGCAGTTTCCTCTAAACACATTTTTTAAGGATAATCAAATGTTAGAAATCTGGTTTTGATCTAATAGATTTACAAAGAATGTGATTTAACACAAAAAGGCTCAACTGTCAGCGTCTCCTGCAGCTTTCAGTGGTGAACCTCTGTGGTGTCACTTTGTTAAACTCATCAAACAAAGGGTCGACCTGGAATCTGAAACAAGAAGCTGAATGCAGCACCGGTCATCAGAGACATTAATAACTTCATCAGACAACTTTTCCCTCTGTTGACTTCCCCTTCTTCTCCACAGTGGTTGAACCAGAGTCACAATGCCTGCGTTAACTTCTGCAACCGCAACGCCTCCCAGGTGACGATGAATCCCGGACAGATCCCATGTGTTTAAACATGTGTGTGATGCTGACATATTGTCTTCTTCAGCCGGCTCCAGCCTCCAAATTTGTCCAGGGATACCTGGGAGCAGTGACGAGCGCAGTCTCCATCGCTGTGAGTTCAATGTTGCACAGCAACAACTGAGTCACTTATCGATCCATTATTTCAACTGTTATAACTTTTAAAGCATCGACACATAACTGTGTCCATGTAAATCTGTTCAGACACGATATCCATCGTTAGATAGATTGATTGATTCTTCTAAGTCTCTTGAAGGTATATTCCTCAATTTACTTGGGGTACAAGGTTATTTTTATTCTACAATATTGATCTTTATTCTTATTCAAAACACTTATAGATTGTACATGCACCTATATATATATATATATATATATATATATATATATATATATATATATATATGTGTGTTAATTTATAGTAATGATAACATTTATAGATCACTTTTCAACACAGAGTACAAACGGCCAAATGTTTAAAATACATTGTTATTATTAATAGTATAATAACAATAATTAGATAATTGTTAATTATAAAAACAACTGTTTAATTATTAAGTCTTGTCATTAATTATGATGTTATTATTGTAACAATCAAACTTTTCTTCCCTCTGGTTTTTAACCATTTGTTTTCTTGTTCAGAACTTTGTACTTTGTGTTGCTCTAATGTTATTTATATTAATTCATTAATCTGGATTTTTGAAATACTTTCATATTTTGGTCAAACACCAAATGTCCTCAGTTATGTTGACAGACATATGGAGACATGTAAAGACGTTGAATCAACCTGTCGTGAAAATACCAGTTGATATCACTATTTTCTTACCTTTTTGCCATTAAAGACTCATGTTTAAATAGCATAATACACCTTCACACACTTGCCTGACATGGGGCTCAAACCGAGCCAATTACTGGTCCGGCTGGGGGCTGATCCGGCTGCTGCTCTCAGGCCTGACAATAGAAATAGCCGGAGGAAAGAAAAAAAAAAACACGGGGTGTCTGGAGGGCGGAACGACAGACCAGGAGGGGGCCAGGAGCTCTCCAATTAAAGGTCCGCTCCGGTGATGGACCCCTGCCATGCTGGGGAGAGCTGGAGGCTGCAGTGTTTTATTAAAGACACATAGCACCTCGATTACAGCCCTCAGTGGTAATACACACTGAAGTCACTCATTTCATTGTTTATGCACAGAAAAATACAGTTTTGTCAGTTTCTCCCTTTTGTGACACTCAAACTATTTCACTGCTCGTCCGTGCTAAACCGGGTTCCATGGTTTTTCAGAATCTGACGGAACATGGGAAACCTTTTGTTTTCAGTTTGTGATTTGTCGGCGACGTGTGCGTTTGTTTTTTTTTTCTAGGTCGGGTTGAACGTGTTAATCCAGAAAGCAAAAGGCTTCAGCCCAACAACCAGGCTTTTGGTGCAGAGGTTCGTCCCCTTCCCAGCAGTGGGTGAGTTCAAAAAGCTCCATGAAGCGCTGCATCAGTGCAACACTGGATGAGAACGGACCAAAGAAGGAGGATCAGTTACAGCACAGTTAGAATAACTCTCAAAATGATAATGTTGGAATATTAGCCTGTCAACATGCCATTTTGTTTGTACTGAATACTGCAATATTTGAAGTACTGTCACATTTAAAAAAAAAATATATAGTGTTTTCAGTGAGAAGAAGTTGAAAGTGTAAGATGTTAGCATATCAAAAGATTCTACGCATTTTACAAAATCATTGTAAAGTAGGTCCTGCTTCATTTCTCTAATTGTCGGGTATCGCGACCTAACGTTAGCTTACGTTAGCACTAGATGACCGTCAGAGTCATCATGTGATAATAATAACAAAGATGGGCGACATGACAGCTCCCAAAAGTGAAGCCAAAGCATCTTGACCGCCCCCTGGTGGCTGGCCGAACTAAAACGTCGAGATACACGTCAAATAAAAATGTCTCAAAGATGGTTTCAGTGGTTTTCAGTGGTTTTCATCACACTGAGGTTTGTTCCAGTGTTAATTTCTCCAGTGAGTTTAGTCTAATTTGTTATTTGATGCTATAAATACGTCAAGATCGACAGCTGAGACTGATTTGACTTTTAATTGAATTGGATTTTCCCGTAGCGCTTCCTCTCTCTTCATGATGCACAAAATTAAAGAAACCCTGACATTATAAATGTCGCGTGTACTTTTATCTCTCGTTAATCTCTGTAGCTGAGCCGTTTGTTTCACTCTGCTCCTCGGTCCGTTTTCCTCAGAGACGTTTTGTGAGCTCACTTTTTTTTTAGACATGTGTGGAGCCACAAAGCTGATTCTCATGTCGCTCTCTCGCAAACACACAGTCTCACCCAGGGGTATAGACCCGTGTCCCAGAATGCCCCAGGCTGCTGGCTCATAATTAAATTGTTTGCCTGCCCCCCTTCCTTACCATGGCGGTTCTTCTAATTAAATCAACAGGTTTCTACAGTGCAGCCTTTGCCTGGTAATTGGTTGCTTGTTAGAACTCTGCTGCCGCAAACAAATTGGATAATTACCCCTAAAGTGGCGTCTATGTCAAGGCCTCATTTACCTGATTTCTGTTTGTTCATTGTTGTTGCTGCCGTTGTTGTGGTAGCCCCATATAAAAGGTAATTAAAACGGCTAATTGAAGCGAGTGAAAGCAAAGTGCTGTTTGAATTTTCACCCGCTTGATTATGTTTGCTTACTTAAGGCTAGATTTATTTGTAATAACCTAATCAAGCGGCGGCCTGTCATTCAATTAGATGATGAAGACCTTAACAGGAGGAAAAGCCGCGCTGCCATAAATTTGTGGGGACAATTAATTGCTTGTCTTCTGAAATTATTCGTCATTATTTGTGATATTTAGGAAGTAATTATGTGAAAAGTTCTTGGATTTCTGTGAGTGTACCACCAGGTATTAGGTGACAGTTAGAATATACAGAAATGTAATTATTTCAAATAATTACAAATTAAATCCACATATTTCAGCATTTAGCTGCACAGACTTAATCACTTCAGTTTTATAATTACTTTGATGACTTTAATAATTAAATTACAAACAGGTTTTTACATTTTTTTATCTGTTTACTGTGGTATTTGTTATTCCTTTCTATAATTCTACTATCTGTCCCTCTATTAATTGTACAAAAAAAAAACCTTGTAGGTAAAAAGAGCTATTTGCTCAGTCAATTGAATTCCCTCCACAAAGCGACCTGCAGCCCTGCAGCTCTTAGTCAAGATAAGTCGGAACGCTGTTGTCTTAAATTAAAAAGGCTCGCGGCACCAACATTAAACTCTAAAATGAGTTTTTCTTATTCCTATTAGAGTCAAGGAGAAAGGATCATCTATATTAACATACATTTGTGTTCATTTTGGCTCCCGTGAATAAATCACAGGGGAGTGGCACTGCTGTTTGTTGCTCCGTCAGTCACCTTGGTTACGTCGCCCATCGCTGGTTTGAGTCTCACAGACGTGACGTTTAGTCGGTTTGTGAATAACGACACAAAATGACTGTGACGCACAATATTTACACATTTTCTGTGACTGGAGAAAAAAGTTTCAGTGTTTTAAACACGGGCTCAGTGACTGATTGGTGTCAAATCTGTGGTATTTTCATGTGGAGAGGTTGTGTTGCAATCGATAATGAAAATCTGTGGAGGCTATAGACTAATTGAAATCCTTGTATATTATTATTAATGTGTTTTATGTCAATGGATGAAGATGTTTTTGGATAAATCATCACCTCTCGTTCCAGATATGTCAATATTTGTCAAACAAGAATCTGTGAACTGTAACTGAACATAAAACTAAAAAGCTAATATATTGATGTTCAGTTCAACATTTGCTAATTAACACTAATCCACTGTATCTACAGTAATGTGGTTAAAAACTAACTCACTGGGCTGATGCTGGTGAAAAAACTATTAGAGGACCCAGAACAAAAAGTTCATAGATACGAGTCCCCGAAATGTCCCTGAATGTTTTCATCGGGGTCCGTGAATTGTTTCCTGTGACATTGGTGAAAATATATATATATATATTTATATGTTATGAAAAGTTCTCGAAACTACTCCTTTGTTCGGATCCACGCAAAAATTGAATGAGTTCTTTCTCGGAGCACGTCCCACCCTTCCACCAAGTTTCATGGAAATCTGCTTCATAGTTTTTTTGCAAATTCTCCGTGATAAACAAACAAACTAAGGAAAAAAACAGGCAGAACTTGCACGGATGTGAAACCATATTATTTAGCAGAACGTTTACGTGTTGGGTTTGATCTCAGTGCAGCAGCTGTGTGTTCTTTAAGTCATTGGTTATTTCCTTTTCTCCTCATGGTTATTAAATGATCATTTTGTCAACTGAAAATATGGTTGTGATCATTAATGATATTAAGATCACAGATACATCCTCTATCCTTGCATAAAATTCCAGTTCAGTCAGTCAGATGAATCTTTAAATACCAAAGAACTCCTCACCTTCCTGCCCCGGCGGCACCGTACCAGCTGCCTGATCTTACACCCAACCTGGAGGGTGAAAAAAAACCAATATGCTCATTTGCGAAACAACTAAATATGTCAGTTTCTCTTTCATCCTTTAAAAAACGTTGTCTCACCTCTCCGCAGCGAGTGCCAACGTCTGTAACGTGGTGCTCATGAGACACTCGGAGCTGTCGGAGGGAATCAGCGTGCTCGACGACGACGGCAACGTGGTGGGAACATCCCGAGTAGCTGCCAGGCATGTAGGGTGATTTACTCTGTAAATATCTGGTGTAAAATTATCCTGTGATTAACACTCTCATGTTGGTAAATACAACAGTGTAAATTACAAAGTATGAAGTTCACACCTGGGTTTGACTTGTTTCAACATGTTGTATGATTTCTACGACAGGCTCTTATGGAGACAGCCCTGACCAGAGTGGTGCTGCCCATGCCCATCCTGCTGCTCCCTCCACTGATCATGTCAGTGCTGGAAAAGTAAGAATCATCACTCGATGTTAATCATTGAAAATACTGTTATTGATTTTAAATGAACAATCGTCTTTAGACTTATCTGAGAAACAATATAAGGATTCTATAATCTGATCGTTGTCGGTGTTTATGAATAAATATCTGGAGTAGTGACGTCAAAAATTATGTTTTACAGACGAATTTAAACTTCAAGTCCTTCGATTGAACGTTTAGAACATTTTCCTGTTGTTGTGCAGGCAAACTAGATTTCATGGTCATCGATCGTCGACCAACCACTGGTTTATTTTCCCCAACTTTTATTTATTTCTTAATCATTTGATGTGGCTTGATTGAGCTGTGCTGTTTAATTACTGTGGGGCTGTTGGGCCTTAGCAGCTGCATGTGCTCCTGTGTATCCATGCATTATTTTCCTCCTGCGCTTTGTGCTTAAGAATAGGAGAATTATATTTTCTATAGCTGGTGTTCTGACTTCTTTCTCTGTCAATTTAAAATTATTTCTGCTGCTGCTCATATTGTAGCACCTAATGTTCACCTGAGAATATTTCATCAGAAAAACAACACCAATAAATGGCTCCAGCCAGAGATCTGTCATTATCAACATTATAAAGTCGCTTTTTTATTTAAAAAAAGTTAATTATGGCTTTAATGGCACAATTAAAGTGGTAAAAAACCTATTTGGTGTTCTCATATAATAATCAGATGAATTCCCAAAGGCACGTGAGTTCTAATTAAATGACCATTAAGGAAACAATGAGTTAGTCAGCGTCACATGTGGCTTTGTCCTCGGAGCTGCTGTCGTCTGATTGGACCGAGCGCTCGGTGAACCCTCTCCGTTGTGCGATACCACTGTAATGATGTCTCAATGATTCGATGTGTTCACGTGGACGCCCTGTGATCGATGGCCTCGCCGTGCCTGCAGTGCGCCGAGGAATGCGGCCATCTTTGTGAACCCCTGACTGCACTTGTCCCGACTGCTCCGAGCACGCGGGCTCCGGCGGCGGCGAGGGCCAGCTGCCCAGGTGTGTTTGGGATTCCTGGCAGGGGAGGGAGAGGGAGAGCAGGGGGCGGTGAGGTTGACTTTGGTTGCAGGTGAGCAGTGCTCAGTTATCCTCCATGTCTGCTCGCCTTCACTGGCTCTCAATAGAGCGAGAACAAGGGGAGAGCGTTGGGTCCCCGGGCGGCCCCCCAATGATCGATGACACCGCTGAGAGCAGATTTCGAGCAGTGACAGCAGGTTCTGTCCTTTATGTGCTTCAGCAGCTGTGAGCGGCTGCAGACCCACAAGTGTATTAAAAACATTCAGCTCAACAGCCCGGAGAACAAATCCCATTCGTTTTCGTTTTTGATTATCGGCCGTAATATTATAACCATCCGAGGTAGACTCGCGACGAGATTGGAAGTTGTCGGAAATGGATCGCTCGCAATGGTTTATGGGATGCGTAGTTCCTTCACTCTTTAAATAATTATGTAAACAATCCACCTTTTTTTTCTGTTTTCCAAATCCAGTCAAAGGGGGAGATCTATAATATTTTTTTTTTTTTTTTTACATTTTCACCAATTTCCCAAGAAGTAATGAATTGATCTTGATGAAAATTAATAATATTTCGGCGACTGATCTCTGAAGTTTTCCTGATCTGGGTCTTGGCACACGTGCTTGTTTCTATCTTTGAGACTCCGCACGTCACCATTGTTGCTCCGGGCTCGTTGGTGGTGCATGTAAACAATTAAACCTGAGTGAGACCTCAGGCCATGTCACTCAGATCATGTGAATCAACTCAGTATTGCACAAAATGACCATTAATTAGAAATCAAATCAAAATATTCACCTGATTCGAAGGTTTTCAAACTCAGACTTGTGCCCAAACCTTCTCACATACCTCTCAACCTGCCTCTTCTCTTTCTAATCCAGTTCCCTAAAATGTGTTTCTGCACATGTGTGTATATAAGTGTGTGTGTAGCCTAATTAAACCATGGCAGCCATATGTGTTAATGAGCTCCCTCATTAGGCAGTAGCTCTCCTCGTTAGGGGGAGAGGCGTCACTGGTGGAGGAGAGACGGAGAGGCTCGTTCTCAAGCTCCTGCTGCGTTCGCTGTCCCACACACTGAAGAGGGGATTATCCTACGGAGGGCAGCGAGGAGGGAGGAGAAGCACGGGCTGAGAAGAGAAAATGTATTTCTGGAGATGTCGGGCAAAAAGTAAAAACGCCCTTAAAACCCTGTCGCTTCTAACAGAGAAAACACATTTCATGCAATTTGAGAAAAACAGTTATGAAAGAATTTAGGAGACAGTTCAGTATGGTTACGTTCTCATCGTCTGTTTGTCTGACTGTTAGAAAGATATCGCAAAAACTACTGAACCGGTGGTCTTGAACGTGGGCCGAGGAAGAAACCAACAAACTTTGAGATAGACTTCATGAAGGGGGCAGAGCCAAGGATGGTTTTCCACTTTCTTTAACATTGTTTTTCAATATTTTCCAGTATTTTGGTGAATTTCTAGAGAAATAATGCAGAAATCTTAATGAAACGAATGAGACATGTGGAGCGTTAATACCTATGAACAGGTAATATTTGGTGCAGATCCAGAAATCAACTCTCCGAGCTTAAAGCTCATAAAGAGATGCATACGTTTATCTACCTAGTTTCAGACTGAGTGAAGACATTTAGCTGCAAACATTCATGTCGAGCAAATGTTATTGATCATGACCTAATTGTTTGAATTGCCCACGTTCAACCTTTGTAATAGTTTTCTTCTTTTATTATTAAAAAGAAAATATGTTGAAATTGTTTTTTTGGAGATGGTTATTTCCCTGGTGACTGGTGCTATGCTATTTGCTATGCTAATTGCTAATGCTGTAGTTCCTCTATTTCCACCAGGCTTCCTCTCCTGCAGAGACAGCGGAGACTCGTCCTGCCCGTCCACAGTCTTGTGTGTCTCGCCGCCTTTAGCCTGGCTCTGCCGCTCGCCATCAGTCTCTTCCCGCAGATGTCCCAGGTACGTCACCCCCCCCCCCCACATCTCTCCTCTCAGGTCAACACGACATTTATTTATTAATGACAGATTGTTGTGATTCTATCTTTTGGGACCTTCAGAGCTTCTGAGGGGAAACAATCAAATCTGTGGATTCTTTTTACTTCATCTTTGTAGTTTTGGTGTCAAGTGTTCATTATGTATTTTGATATAGTCTGATCCTGCTCATATGAACTAATCAGTTTGTTCTGTGAAACTTAAAATCAGCTGTTTCTATATATAAGTTCATGTAAAAGCTTTCATGATCATCATCACGCTCAGATGAAATGCATCTTAACGTCTCATGTTCTCGTTTCCAGCGCTTCTTTTCTTCTTTTCGGTTTTTAAATTGTGACTCTCAGCCTCAGATCTGCCACGACTCTTGTTTCAGTGACTGATGTTGACTCTCCTGACCTCTTAAACGTTTCCCATCGAGCTTTACGGCGGCTCTCTCTCCTAATGAGGCGTAGCCCTCTGAGACGTAACCTGCTCTGTTGTGATCTGCCCGGAGTCTGTCCTGCCTTCCGCTGCCGTCCAGGCTCACAGAGCTGAGCTCTAACTTTAGCTTCGCTCGGCCGCGTCGCTCTTCTCATTAACTGGCTGTGGCTCGATATTGTTTTTTTTTTACTCCGTCTCTCTCTCTCTCTCTCTCTCTTTCTCTTTGTCTCCTCTCTGCCAAATCACTCGCCGACACAAGCCAAGCAGCTCTGGCTTTAAAATGTTTAGGATTTAATTACCGCTGGAAATAGCTCAGACAGCCATATGGCAAAAAAACTTCAGACATATGTGCCACCAACACTCCTGTGAAAAGCAGCACCGAGGGGCCTGTTTTTCTCTCAAGTCCCTTTTTTGCACTTTCGCGAGGATAGCGGATGAAAAAAAAAAAAAAAAGAACTACCCAAAAAGCAACATGAATGCCCCGCTCCCCTGGACCCCCCGCCTACTCAATTTGTCCCACTTCCCCATTTCACACCTACCAAGATGTCTGATTAGGATTCTGCCGACAACTCCAACAGCCATCTGTCTCTGGTTCAAATATTAGGAGCTTCAAACCTCAAATTAGACTGTAATCTGCCAAATTGTCTCTTTTTGCACATTAGCGGTAAATACAGAACATTTCAAGTCTTTAGCTACGAATGAAACAGTTTCGGATCTTTTACGAAGCCGCTCATAAAGACGACCGTGGACGTACCGTACACGTAGCTGGAAACTTGTCACATCTGACAGCGCGTGCCAAACATTTCCTCTTGCACCGTTGACCTTTTTGTTCTGCTTCCATTCCCGCAGATCAGCGTGAATCGGTTAGAGCCGGAGATCGCCATGGCAACAGATGGTCCGATGGTGACATACAATAAAGGCCTGTGAGTGATCTCTGCGGCCCGACACATCGAGACGAGACCCGCCGCTGCTCAGCATTGTTCACGCCGCCGCTGAATGGAGGACGGTAAAATTTGGCTGCGTTGGCCGGGGAGGATTTTAACACACGTTGACACGGAGCAGCAGTTCATCCGTGTTACTGACGGAAAGATGTTGGTGTTTGTTAATCAAGAAGAAACATGTGATATTGAAACGTATCAGTCACCTCAGAAAGTTCTAACATGGACACTTACCAAGGAAAATAAGAGAAATGAAGCTCTGAACATGTTTATGGACGATGTGGGTTCAGTTTACTTTGTGTTACTTGATCAGCAGATGCATAGTTGAGTTAGTGAGTGAGGGTAGGTGGATTAAAAATATAAAATGTCTAATTTATTGTAATTGTGGTTTGGGTTGTGTATAAACAGTGGGAATGAAGTAAGGGTGATTGACATGAATGTATTTTTGTGAACTGTGAAAAACTCAGGGCTTCTTCTCTGGTTTCTGCTCTGGACCAGTTAACATGAAGACACTCTGTCTCCCTGTGAGCTCATACGTGTCAGACTACATGTAACATGTCAGAGGAATGATTTTCACCGCTCACATTCTTTCACATGAAACGTTTGCGGCGCCTGAAAGCGGCAAAACTGTTGCAAGTAAACTTCAAGAAAAGTCGGAAATAGAAACTTAACTTTCAGGAGTGATCCTGAATCAAATGCTGGAAAATGGCTGTAGAAATGATATTTTATCAAATATTTTATCAAGATGTCAGGTAACAAAGTAGTTATCACTGTTCTATGCACAAAAAAAGTTTAGAGAGCAAATGTTTAACTTTAACTGTATTAAATCATTCAATGAAATTGGGAGGTTCTGTTGCTCTTGTGCAGTAAAATGTTACACACAAATCTTGATTTTGATAATTATGATAATGCATTTTATTTATAAAGCACTTTTAAAGGAACTCGAAGACAGTTAACAAAGGATTGAAATAATGACTAAAAGACACAAAAGATTAAAACATATTATTGTCGCACATTGAAAGCAGTTCTGAAAGTACTTTGCACTTTGAATACTTTGTGTACACAAATACATCATGAGGATGTTTGAAGTCTTGACCAAAAAGATTTGCTTTCGAAATCTTCCTAGAAAT